TTTCATTTAACACAGAAAACATCAAAAAGCTTTGTTATAACCAAGCAAGAGAGGCAGAAATATGAACATTATTTCAATATAATGTGTAAACACAACTACCAGGAGAACATATAAGTCCAGAAAGCTCTCATGAAAAGTAAATTCAAATTGAACACTAAAGGAAAGATGAGCACACCAATGGCTAGCATGGAAACCATTCCAAAAAGAAACTATTCTTCAAATCTGAAAGGGCTGGTCTCACCCATAGCTGTTAGAAATAGGCACTGCAATGTTTTACTAGTCTGCATATAGCCCTGAGTTCGATCTCCAACACAGGGGTGGGGGGAGCACAGGCTAGCACAGGACAGGAGAAGACAAGAAAGACAAACAGGCTCTGCAAACCAGAGAAAAAAGAAAGGACTTTGAAGGCAAGGTGGAAGGAATAGAGCAGGAAGGTAAGCAGAGGCCTAATTTTATTTTATTTTTTGGCGGAACCAGGGATTGAACTCAGGCCGTTGCGCTTGCCAGGCAAGCACGTATTCTACTGAGCTATCTCCCTGGCCCCCAAGAGGCCCAATTTTAGGTTCCTAAGAGGTAGAATAAGATGATCATGTCTTACAAATGATGAACAACTGTTAAAGTGGCTTTACTTGACATTTCCTCGTTATTTTTAAAAACAGGTAATGTATTCACTTGGGTGAAGATCTGGAATTACAAAGCACAGACTGTGCAGCTGCCCTCCCCCACTAGCCCCTTACGCACCTGTCCAGCTACCTATGTACATGCACATGCGTCCACATATTGTTGTGTGCTTCCCTTGTCACACAAATGGTGGGCCATCATGAATAGTGTGTTCTCCCTTCCCTCCTCGATAAAGCAACCTAAAGATCTTTCCAGTCTTCCCCACTGTTACTGCACCTTCGTTTGTTTTGTATTTCGGCACTAATGGGACATTTAGGTAATTTTCAACCTTTTATTACCAATAATACCATCAATGACTTTGAGCACATGTACAGGCAGAAAATAGTTCCTTGAATTAGAACTGCTGGGTCAAAAGGTGTGTGCACTCGTAACCCTGATGCTGCCACGCAGCCCTTATTAGGGTGGAACAATTCACAGCCTGCACGACCCTCAGCCTCCACTGGGGCAGGCAGGGCCTGTCACCTCGCTTCCACCAGTGCAGCTGGTGAAGACTGCAGTCTGTGCCTTGTTAAGTTGGGTCCTGCAATACGCCAGGCTAGACGACTCTGGGCTCAGCCTTCTGAGTGCTGGGACTGCAAGCACGTGACACAGTCTGTTATTTCTGCCAAATATTTAACTTGCATCTCCAGTAAGTGAATATATGAAGAGTCATTTTGTTCAATATTCGTATACTTTGGTCATATTTCTCTTGGGGTGCTAGGTCTTGTTATTTTGGACACATTCTGTATATAGGAAAATATGTTGCTTACAATAGGAGCTGGTAATTCTTCCACTGCTGTCTTTGTCACATGTGTCACCTGACTGCGTATCGAGGTCTGTGCCGGGCAATCTTTTGTTGCACGGTTTCTGGGTGTTCTGCCAGGAGACGTGTTGCTGAGCACTGCGAAGAGAACCCTAAAGGGCGCGCAGAGTCCACAAGGAAGGGACGCTGGGTGAGGGGAAACTAGCCAGTAGGAAGGGCGTTGCATTTCTGCAGTGGGCATGGGATTAAACACCAAGTGAGCTGCAAGAGGGATAAAACTACTGAGACATATTTGACAGTTCCTGGTAATCACTTGTAGGTGACGTAAGGGGATTTTAAAAACTATTTCAAGTAACTGTCTATATAAAATTTCAGAATTTCCATAAAAATGACAAATCTTAAATGTGGACTCTGCTTGCTTCTCACAAAAGGTGAATAAGGTGTAAGTTAGAGACCCAAAAGCTTGTGATTTATGCAAAAACACTCAGCTAGGTAAGCAAATTCTGAACTGCAAGCCTCCAAACTAATTCTATGGAAGAGAATTATAAAATTCAAATAACAGCTACTTAAAACAAGTTCCCAAACACTTAACCCCTGCCTGATAGAGCTTTAATATGGCAAGCAATGGTCACAGACAGCCCAACAGCTTAGCAATCACTTTATCCCCCCTCAACAGCACTCTAAGTTTGCAGTTTTACTATTCAAATGCATTTTCTTCAGTAACAGTGGCATGTGTAGTTTGCTTTTTAAATACCGTTATATTGTAAAACTGAAAGTTGACAGTGGGCCCATCCCTAAAAACAAAAACATGCCCTAGAGAAGGCTCACGTTATTCCCAGCAGAGAGGCTGTGCTGGGAACCTGGAGGTCCACTCCGGGGTCACCCGAGACTCGAGGTGTACTCGGTACCTCTCCGCGCCCACCCCGCGCCACTCCCGGCCCCCTCCGAGCCCCCGACCCCCGAGCCCCACCCCGCTCACTAGGGGCTCTGCACGCAGCTCGACTGCCGGCACCTCCTCCGCGCCGGGAAGCTGGGAGGTGACACCGGAACCGGAAGCGGCGCCCGCCGCGGAGAGCC